TTACATATTAAATTCAGATGTTTTTGTTCTTTTCTATGCTATAAAATTATTTTAACTGTATGTAGTTTGCTCCTATGCTGTATTAAACTTTATGTCTGATAAATAGCATTCATAAAACTAGTATAATAACTCTTTCAGAGTTAGAACTTTAACAGCCTTTTAAATTTCTGTTGCATTTATTGATTTCCTCATATTTTTAATTTTTTTTTTAATTTTTGTGGGTACATTTTAGGTATATATATTTATAGGATATATGAGATATTTTGATACAGGCTTACAATGCGTAATAATCACATCAGGGTAAATGGAGTATCCATCATCTCAAGCATTTATCCTTTGTGTTGAAACAATCCAATTGTACTCTTTTAGTTATTTTTAGAAGTACAATAAATTATTATAGACTGTAGTCACCCTGTTGTACTAACAAATACTAGATCTTATTCATTCTAACTATATTTTTGTACCCATTAACCATCCCCCCAGTCACCCACTACACTCCCTAGTCTCTGGTAACCATTGCTTTATTATCTTGAGTTCAGTTGTTTTAATTTTTAGCCCCCACAAATAAGTGAGAATGTGTGAAGTTTGTCTTTCTGTGCCTGACTTATTTCACTTAACATAATGATTCTAGTTCCACCCAGGTTGTTGCAAATGACAGGATCTCATTCCTTTTTTATGGCTGAATAGTATTCCATGTGTATATGTACCACATTTTCTTTTTTCTTTTTTTTTTTTTTTTTTGAGATGGAGTCTCACTGTGTTGCCCAGGCTGGAGTGCAGTGGCGCAATCTTGGTTCACTGCAACCTCTGCCTCTTGGGTTCAAGTGATTCTCCTGCCTCAGCCTCCCAAGTAGCTGGGACTACAGGCATGTGCCACCATATCCAGCTAATTTTTTTGTACTTTTTTAAGTAGAGATGGGGTTTCATCATGTTGGTCAGGCTGGTCTCGAACTCCTGACCTCAAATGATCCACCTGCCTCGGGCTTCCAAAGTGCTAGGATTATGGACGTGAGCTACCATGCCCAACCCACATTTTCTTTATTCATTTGTCTATGGATCTTAGGTTGCCTCCAAACCGTGGTTATTGTGAATAGTGCTGTAGTAAACATGGGACAGCAGATATCTCTTTGATATACTAATTTGCTTTCTTTTGGATATATAATCAGCAGTGGGATTGCTGGATCATATGGTAGATCTATTTTTAGTTTTTTTGAGGAACCTCCAAACTCTTTTCCGTAGTGGTTTTACTAACTTGCATTCCCATCAATGGTGTATGAGAGCTGCCTTTTCTCTACATCCTCACCAGCATTTGTTATTGCCTGTGTTTTGAATAAAAGCCATTTTAACTCGGATGAGATGGTATCTTCTTGTAGTTTTGATTTGCATTTCTCTGATGATCAGTGATGTTGAGCACTTTTTTCATATGCCTGTTTGCTATTTGTATGTCTTCTTTTGAGAAATATCTATTAAGATTTTTTGCCCATTTTTAATCAGATTATTAAATTTTTTCCTGTAGAGTTGTTTTAGATCCTGGTCATTAATCTCTTGTCAGATGTGGTTTTCTCATACTTCTGCTGCTACCTAAGTCAGTTACTATAGTTTTTCAAGAAAAACTGATTATATTTGGGTCTTTAAATTTATTGATATACAGTCATTTATTCTGTTTTCTGAAATTTTTAAAACTTCTCGTGCATATGGGGTGTTAACTTCTTTTTCATTTATTTTATTGCTTACTTGTGGTTTTTTTTTCTCATTTGATTTAACCTGCTCAAGGGATTTGCTAATTTTGTTCATTTCCTCAAAGACTAAGTTCTTAGATTTATTTCATACATTCTCTTTTACCATTTCATTATATTTCTGCTTTTGTCTTTGTTAATACTTTTTTTGAGACAGAGTCTCACTCTGTCTGCCAGGCTGGAGTACAGTGACGCAATCTTGGCTCACTGCAACCTCCATCTCTTGGGCTCAAGCAATTCTCTTGCCTCAACCTCCCAAATAGCTGGGATTATAGGTGTGTGCCACCATGCCTGGCTAATTTTTGCATTTTTAGTAGAGACGGGGTTTCACCGTGCTGGCCAGGCTGGTCTCAAACTCTTGACCTCAGGTAATTCACCCACTTTGGCCTCCCAAAGTTCTGGGATTACTGGCACGAGCCACTGCGCCCGGCCTATTAACGCTTTTTTCCTTAACTGATAATTCATTTATCCTTTTAGTGGAGAAACTGGTCGTCATTTTTCCTAAGTCTAGAACATTTATCTAAGTCTAAGAACATTTTCATTAACCCTCTCCCTAGAGCTCCAAACCCAAAGAGTCATTCCCCATCTTCCCCTCCTCCTATCTTCTGGTAACCACTAATCTACTTATTCTGTATGGATTTTTCTTCTGGATTTTTTTTTGAGATGGATTCTCGCTCTGTCGCCCAGGCTGGAGTGCAGTGGCACAGTCTTGGCTCACTGCAAGCTCCGCCTTCTGGGTTCATGCCATTCTCCTGCCTCAGCCTCCTGAGGAGCTGGGACTACAGGTGTGCACCACCAGGTCCAGCTAATTTTTGTATTTATAGTAGAGACGAGGTTTCACCATGTTGGCCAGGATGGTCTTGATCTCTTGACCTCATGCTCCGCCCACCTTGGCCTCCCAAAGTGCTGGGATTACAGGTGTGAGCCACCACGCCCAGCCTGGACTTTTCATATAAATAGACTCATAACATATGAGGTCTTATGTCTGGCTTGTTTCACTTAACACAGCCCTTTCAAGGTTCATCCATATTGTGACATATATTTATTCCTTTTTATGGCTGCATGATATTTTATTGTATGGCTGTACCACATACTATTTATCCACTCATTAGTTGATGGATATTTGGGTTGTTTCTACTTTTTGGTCATTATCAGTAGTGCTGCTATGAACATTCATGTATGGGTTTTTGTTTGGACATATGGTTTTGTTTGAGTATATACTTAGAAGTGGAATTAATGGGTTACATGGCAACTGTGTTTAACTTTTTGAGGAACTACCAGTGCCAGAATATTTTCCAAAGTAGCTGCATCATTTTATATTCCCAGCAACAGTATATGAGGGCTCCAGGTTTTCCACACCATTGACAGCACTTGTTATTGTCCCCTTTTTTTTCTTTGCCCATTGCATTGTCTTGGCATCCTTGTCAAAAATCAGTGGACCATAAATGTAAGGGTTTGTTTTTAGACTCTCAGTTCTGTTTTGATGATATATATGTGTATATGGCAGTACCACATAGTCTTGATTACTGTAGTTACAGTAACTTTTGAAATCAGAAGTGAGTGTTCCATTTAAGATTATTTTGGGTATTGTGGGCCTCTTACATTTTCAAATAGATTTTAGGATTAGCTTGTCAATTTCTGCAAAAAAAAAAAAAAAAAGAAACAACTATGATTTTTATAGAAATTGTGTTGAATCTGTAGATCAATTTTAAGAATATTGCTTTGTTAACAGTATTAAGTGTTCCAATCAGGATGTACACAGGATGTCTTTGCTGTTGTCTCTATTTTCTTTCAACAATGTGTGGTGGTTTTCAGTGAACAAGTCTCACATTTCTTTTGTTAAATAAATTCCTAAGTATTTTAATTGTATTTTATGCTATTAAAAATGAAATTGTTTTGTTAACTTCATTCTCACATTATCTGCTAGTGCAGAGAAATACAGTAAGTTATTTTGTCTTATATCTTGCAACCTTGCTAAACCTGTTTATTATCTATTAATGGATTTCTTCTGCTTTTTTTAAATTCTTTTTTACAATTTTATTTTTGTTCTTTTTTAAAAATCTATTTTTAAAAGAGATTTATTTAACTCACAGATTTGCAGGCTGAATTCAAGGGCAGGTCCCTGCCTTCTGGCAATAGCATTCTTGCTTGTTTATTTTTATTGTTTTCCTGGCTTTTGAATCTATACATATTAGGTCATATAGCCCCTTTTTTTGCTAATTAATTCATTTTAAGGCTATACATTTTCTTTTCACTACTGGTTTGGCGACAGACATTTTGATTTGAAGTACCGTGATTGTAGTTTGTTTCTAACTCAGCATTGATTTTCTTTTTAATCCAATAATACTTAACAATTTCTGGCCGGGCGCGGTGGCTCAAGTCTGTAATCCCAGCACTTTGGGAGGCCAAGATGGGTGGATCATGAGGTCAGGAGATCGAGACCATCCTGGCTAATACGGTGAAACCTCGTCTCTACTAATAAATACAAAAAACTAGCCGGGCGAGGTGGCGGGCGCCTGTAGTCCCAGCTACTCGGAAGGCTGAGGCAGGAGAATGGCATAAACCCGGGAGGCGGAGCTTGCAGTGAGCTGAGATCGCGCCACTGCACTCCAGCCTGGGCGACAGAGCGAGACTCCGTCTCAAAAAAAAAAAAAAAAAAATTTTCAAATGTTTGATGGGTTATATTTTTGTTAATAGTTTAACTGCATTGAAATTTGTATGATTTTTCTTATGGAGCTCACAGATAATCTTTTAAGTAGTCTTTTAAGTTAAGATTTTACGGGCTGGGTGTGGTTGGCGCACGTCTGTAATCCCAGCACTTTGGGAGGCCGAGGCAGGTGTATCACCTGAGGTCAGGTGTTCGAGACCAGCCTGGCCAACATGACAAAACTCTGTCTCTGCTAAAAATACAAAAATTAGCTGAGCATGGTGACGGGTGCCTGTAATCTCAGCTACTCGGGAGGCTGAAGCAGGAGAATTGCTTGAACCCAGGAGGTGGAGGTTGTAGTGAGCCAAGATTGCTCCATTGCACTCCAGCCTAGGCAACAACAGCAAGACTCCGTCTGAAAAAACAAAGATTCTGCTCCACAAGCAACAAGATGGGAATGTTTTATAACCAGTTGGGGCTACAGAATGTTTTTTATTTTTAGACAGTAGAGAGAACAGCTTCCATGCAAGGTAAGATTAAAACTTTTTCTGACTGACTAAATAGTAAGTTTTATGGTGTTGTATCCTATTCAGAGGTGTTCTTAAATGTCTTTGCAGCCACAAATAAGAAGAGTAATTCGCCCAAGCCAGCTCGATCCAGTGTAGCAGGTAGTCTATCACTTCGAAGAGCAGTGGACCCTGGAGAGAGTAGTCGTTCAAAGGGAGACTGTCAGACTCTGTCTGAAGGTAAATTTGAGGGATTCAGAATGTACTTTTAGTGGGGTAGATATTTATTACCTGAAATTGATGTTATCATGGAGCTTTAGATCTTGAAGGGTACCAAAAATGCTAACGTTAGATTTGAAAGTTTCTTTTTTTGAAACAGGGTCTCACTTTGTCACCCAGGCGGGAGTGCAGTGGTGCGATCTTGGCTCACCGCGGCCTCGACCGGTGGTTTAAGCGATCCTCCTGCCTCAGCCCCACCAAGTAGCTGGGACTACAGGTGTGCACCACTATGCCTGGCTAATTTTTGTGTTTTTTTATAGAGACAGGTTGCCCCGGTTGGTCTTAAACTCCTGAGCTCAAGCAGTTCTCCTACCTCAATCTCCCAAAGTGCTAGGATTACAGGAATGAGCCCCACCACACCTGGCCCGAAAGTTTCTTGATCTCACAACAGAACAGACCCTTAACATACAGCCATTAGACTATGTATTCTAAACTCCTTGATTTTATTTATTTTTTATTTTTGTTGTTTTCCTGAGATAGAGTCTTGCTCTGTTTTCCAGGCTAGGGATGCAGTGGTGCAATCATAGCTCACTACAGCCTTGACCTCCCAGACAAAAGTGATCCTTCCACCTCAGCCTCCCAAGTAGCTGGGACCACAGACACGGACACATGCAGCCGTACCTGGCTTTTTTTTTTTTTTTTTTTTTTTAATTTTGTTTTTTGCCAAGACAGGGTTTCGCTACATTGCCCAGGCTGGTCTTGAACTTCTGAGCTCAAACAGTCTTCCTGTCTCAGCCTCCCAAAGTGTAAAATTACAGGTGTGAGCCACAACACTTGGCCTGGACTCCTTAATTTTAAATGCCTGGCATAAAAATAAATGGGATATGTTTCAAAATTATTTTTGAAGTGTTTTTTTCTTTTTTGAGATGGAGTTTTTTGCTCTTGTTGCCTAGGCTGGAGTACAATGGTACAGTCTTGGCTCACCACAACCTCCGCTCCCCGTGTTCAAGTGATTCTCCTGCCTCAGTCTCCCGAGTAACTGGGACTACAAGTGCACGCCACCATGCCCAGCTAATTTTTGTATTTTTAGTAGAGACAGGGTTTCACCACGTTGGCCAGGCTGACCTTGAACTCCTGACCTTAGGTGATCCATCCGCCTTGGCCTCCCAGAGTGCCAGGATTACAGGCATGAGCCACCACGCCCGGCCTATTTTTGAAGTTTTTATGTAGTTTTAAAATTACATATATAGTGAGATTTTCTAATATAACTGAGAGAGACCTTCCATGTTTATTTGCCTTCTTTCTGATTGTCCCTCCTTTTTTTTTTTTTTTTTTTTTTGAGCCTTGCTCTGTTGTCCAGGCTGGAGTGTAGCACAATCTCGGCTCACCGCAACCTCCGCCTCCCAGGTTCAAGTGATCCTCGTGTCTCAGCCTCCCAAGTAGCTGAGATTACAGGTGCACGCCATCATACCCAGCTAATTTTTGTATTCCCTCTTCCTTTTTTTGAAGGCTCCCCAGGAAGCTCTCAGTCTGGGAGCAGGCACAGTTCTCCCCGAGCCTTGATACATGGCAGTATCGGTGATATTCTGCCAAAAACTGAAGACCGGCAGTGTAAAGCTTTGGATTCAGATGCTGTTGTGGTTGCAGTTTTCAGTGGCTTGCCTGCTGTTGAGAAAAGGAGAAAAATGGTCACCTTGGGGTAAATTGTTTTGTATATGTAATGGTATAATAGCTAATAGCTTTGTTTGGAACTTTAAGTTTGCATCATGATGAACAAATTAATTTCTACCTTGTTAATTTTTTAGTGGACAGAAAATACGTTTATTGCACTAAATTTTAACTTTTTTTTTTTTTTGAGACGGAGTCTCGCTCTGTCGCCCAGGCTGGAGTGCAGTGGCCGGATCTCAGCTCACTGCAAGCTCCGCCTCCCGGGTTCACGCCATTCTCCTGCCTCAGCCTCCCGAGTAGCTGGGACTACAGGCGCCGCCACCACGCCCGGCTAGATTTTTGTATTTTTTAGTAGAGACGGGGTTTCACCGTGTTCGCCAGGATGGTCTCGATCTCCTGACCTTGTGATCCGCCCGTCTCGGCCTCCCAAAGTGCTGGGATTACAGACTTGAGCCACCGCGCCCGGCCTTTTTTTTTTTTTTTTTTTAAACAGAGCCTCGCTCTGTCACCCAGGCTGAAGGGCAGTGGCGTGATCTCAGCTCACTGCAACCTCTGCCTCCCGGGTTTGAACGATTCTCCTGCATCAGCCTCCCAAGTAGCTGGGATTACAGGTGCCCACCACCACACCTTGCTAATTTTTGTACTTTTAGTAGAGACAAAGTTTCGCCATGTTGGCCAAGCTGGTCTTGAACTCCTGAGACCTCAAGTGATATGCCCACCTTGGCCTCCCAGAGTGTTGGGATTACAGGCCTGAGCCACTGCACCTGCCCTAAATTTTAACTTTTTAAAATATCAGAGATTTTACTTTTTTTTTTTAATGGGATGAGATAGTACTTTTTTTAAATAGGATGAGATAGTACTGGAAGTTTAGTTTAGATATGTTGGAGCTCATTTTCAGAGTTAGAGCTCATTTTCACAATGATATGTAACCTTATCTGAACTCTGTCTTGTAAATTTGTGTGTGTTGGGGGGAAGGTTGCCAGCTTTTTTTGGTTTTTATTTTTTTTTTCAGTCTACACTTGTCAAAAATGTTAGTGTTGGGCTATATTACATGTCACAGGCATTTATATATATTTTGTATGAAACAAAGCACTTACAGCAACTTTAACACTGCTTTTCTGCTTTTATCTCACCTTTCTTCTCTCCTCTTATCAAAGTATCCTCAAAACTTATAGTTGGAATTTTCCAAAAGGATATATAGTAGTTAACACCTTTATCTCTCCCCTAAGATAGATAAACTCAAATCCCAGGCATGGCAATTAAACTTCCATCTATTCAAAAGATAGAGTGATTATGGATATTGGCTATGGATGTGGCAGATCATGAGCCATTAATGTCCATCTGCTTATCTATTTTATGGATATTAAACCTATTTCTAAATTTAAACAATGAAATAGTTCTATTTTGGAGACTCTGAAAAGAATTTTACCTCAATTGGAGAAAGATTAGCACCCTTTAAGTTTACTTAATTTTATATAGTCAAGGTGTCTGACTCATTACCAAAACTACAAGATTGGCTGGTGGTTTAGCTTTCCTTTGTGGCTCAAGTTTCAGTAGTAGAAAGATGTTAAAATCACTGGAGATTATCTTGTCTTCCCTACCTACTACCTAGCCTGATGTTTTATACATTTCTTCAAATTAAAGCTGCAAGTAGCTTTTATATTGTATTTGCTATGGAGATATTTTTATCTGCCTTTAGTCATCACAGTTAAATATACATGAACTTAGTTTTTTTTTTCTAGAGTGTAAAATCCTGTACAAGTGTCTGCAGCTCTTAGCCATGATCCTCATTTTGCAGTTGATTTTATCTGCCAGACTGGTTCATGTGGATGCTGTCCAGCTCATGTCTTTTTTTTCCCCGCCTGATTTAAAGTAGTGTAAGCAAAAAGTTTAAATACTAATGAAAGGCTGGGCACAGTGGCACACACCTGTAATCTCAGCACTTTTGGAGGCTGAGGTGGGAGGATTGCCTGAGCCCAGGAATTTGAGAACAGCCTTGGCAACATAGCAAGACCTTGCCTCTGTTTATTTTTTAAATAAAAATAAATATTAAATACTAATGGTAAGTGTTTCAAAATGAAAGGAAAAAAGGATAAGTGAAAAGTTTCCCATCCTTATCTCCCACAACCTAGTTTTCCAACCCCTTGCCCCACACACATTCATGCTCTTCTTTATTTTTCATATATGCTGTGTCTTCTCAGTTTTTGTGTATATTTAAGGAACTGTGACTATGTAGCTTTTTTAATACAAAAGGTGTACTTCGATTTCTCATTCAATAATATCTCTCAGGCCAGGCACCGTGGCTCACACCTGTAAACCCCAGCACTTTGGGAGGCTGAGGTGGTCAGATCACTTGAGGTCAGGAGTTCGAGACCAGCCTGGCCGTCATGATAAAACACTGTCTCTATTAAAAACAAAGTACAAAAATTGTCGGCGTCATGCTGGGCACCTGTAATCCCAGCTACTTGCGAGGCTGAGGCAGGAGAATCGCTTGAGCCCAGGAGGCAGAGGTTGCAGTGAGCTGAGATCACATCACTACACGCTAGCCTGGGTGACCGACTGAGATTACATCTCAAATAATAGTAATAATAATATATCTTAAAAGTCTTTCCCTCTTAGAACATATTATTTAAAACTTCCATTTATATTTATAAGTTAAAATTTTATTGAGCTAATTATAGATTCACATGCAGTTGTAAGAAATAATGCAGAGACATCTTGTGTACTTTTCTCCCCTAATAACATTTTGCAAAACTGTAGTACAATATCACAACCAGGATACTAACATTGATATAATCCACCATTTCATAACATTTTTTTATGAATGTTAAGTGAAATTTTTAAATTTAATTTTATTTTTTATTTATTTTTTTTGAGACAGAGTCTTGCTCTGTCGCCCAGGCAGTGCAGCAGTGCAATCTCGGCTCACTGCAACCTCTGCCTCCTGGGTTCAAGCAGTTCTCTGCCTCAGCCTCCCGAGTAGCTGGGATTACAGGTGCCCACCACCACACCTGGCTAATTTTTGTATTTTTAGTAGAGACAGAGCTTCACCATCTTATCCAGGCTGGTGTTGAACTGTTACCTCAGGTGATCCACCCGCCTTGGCCTCCCAAGGTGCTGGGATTACAGGCATGAGCCACTGCGCCCGGCCCTTAGTGAAATATTTTAAGGTAAAATTTGAAATTTATTATTAAACACCAGAGCACGTACCCTACTTAGTTTGGTGCTCAGTTCAAAAAGAAAATATAGATTATTGTGTCACTTACTAGTTACATAAAAATACCAAGTTGTTTTCTTCTTTGAGGGCTAATGCTAAAGGAGGTCATCTGGAAGGACTGCAGATGACTGATTTGGAAAATAATTCTGAAACTGGAGAGTTACAGCCTGTACTACCTGAAGGAGCTTCAGCTGCCCCTGAAGAAGGTAAGGAATTATAAACTTACAAGTAAGCAGGAAATGAGAATTCTGTCTCTTTTTTGGTGGTGGGTGGTGGTAGTGGTGGTGGTGGTGGTGGTAGTCGTAGTGGTAGTGATAGGGATAGGGAGTGGTTGGTTTAATGGAAACATTACTGAGATCTGCTATTCGACATGCTTGGTCTGAACGCAACATTCCTTGTGCCACTGAATTTGATTTGCTAAGATGTTAAATACAGAGGAAGGCAAAATGAGTGAGTTACTACATAAAAGGACAGGGCTTACTAGAACAGGCATTTGTATGGGGAAAATATCTGCATATAGTTCATCTGTTCAGTCAATAAATATATTAAGGCACCTACATACAATGCATTGAATTTTTGCTAGATTTATTAATACAAAGTTGAATTAGATATGTTCACAATCTAATGGGGAAGATGTGCCCCAGAACGACTAATTAGAATAGTAAATGTTAAGTATTTTTTAGTCAGTCTTAATTAGTGTCTGCAGATGGCTTTTTTTCTTCTTAAAGAAGCATTCCAGGTTTTGACCATTTTTTAAATACCATATGATGACTGACTTCAGCTTTTTCTCAGATATACTTTCTAATGTTTCCTTTGAATGTTCTTCCAAGTTCATTATTGTTTATCTAAAAGCATAGAAGACATTTTGCAATTTGGGGCAACAGAGGTGCTTGGAACAAGGCTATGTGTATTGCCCTTGCTGTGTCCTGTATAAATTGGTAGAAAAGAATGTCAACTCTCTTAATGATATTTGGCCTTGTAATTTTTTCATTTCTTAGTGCAACTCTGCCACCTTCCACCTCTGCACTCATTTGAATTTCAATGATTGATGAATTGTAGCTCAAAGCATACATGCAGGTGCCAGCATCTACTCAGCTGCCCTAAGAAGAGGGTGTGTGGGTGGTGGCATTTTCAGGTTTCTCAGTTAAAGAACACTAAACATTTTGGTTTTCTTAGTTGGTCCTCCTGTAGTGGGCAGCATTATTTCAGTAGAAGAGATTAAATAGAAAAGATTTTTGTAAATGATGTGTTTATTGTTAAAACATCAGGAAAGAAATATTATGATTGATGATCTTTATAGAACAGGTCTGTAGGGAATAACTTTCTGTTGTTTTTTGTTTCCCCCAAGACGGAGTCTAGCTCTGTCACACAGGCTGGAGTGCAGTGGCGCAATCTTGGCTCACTGCAACCTCCAACTCCCGGGTTCAAGTGATTCTCCTTTCTCAGCCTCTGTGTAGCGGGGATTACAGGCCCTGCCAACATGCCCAGCTAATTTTTGTATTTTTAGTAAGAGACGGTATTTCACTGTGTTGGCAAGGCTGGTCTCAAACTCCTGACCTCATGATCCACTCGCCTCGGCCTCCCAAAGTGGTGGGATTACAGGCGTGAGCCACTGTGCCCGACCGGGGAATTCTTTCTATGTGTCTCCATACATACTGGATTGTAGTAGCTTAAATTACTACAGAATATACTGGAATTACATTTTTCTTCCACCAAGCGCAGTGGCTCATGCCTGTAATCCCAGTACTTTGGGAGGCTGAGGCAGGCAGATTACTTGAAGTCGGGAGTTCGAGACCAGCCTGGCAAAAATAGTGACACCTCATCTCTACTACATATACAAAAATTAGCCAGGTGTGGTAGCAGACACCTGTAATCTCAGCTACTCGGGAGGCTGAGGCAGGAGAATTGCTTGAACCAGGAGGCAGAGATTGCAGTGAGCCAAGATCACGCCACTGCACTCCAGCCTGGACGACAGAGTGAGACTGTATCTCAAATGACAATAATAAGCTCATTTTTTTTCATGCAACATTTATGAAATGCTTCTAATTTACCAGATGTTGTATTTGATGCCAGTGATAAAATTCCTGAACTTACTATCTAGTTCAGACTCTCCACCTTGGCACCAATTGCCATTTAGACCACATAATTTTTTATTTTACAGGGGCTGTTCTCTGCATTGTGGAATGTTTAGCAGCATCCTCAGCTTTTAACCGCTAGATACCAGTAGTGTTTCCCTCCTGTTACAACAACCAAAAATGTCTCCAGACATTGCCAAATGTTTCCTGGGAGGCAAAATCATCCCCAGTCACGAACCAATAGTTGAACTAAATAATTCTGAACCAGAGGTGACCTCCTTGAGAATCACTTGCCAGAGTGGGCCACAGTTACTAATAGAAATAAGTTGTAGCTCTCAGGTATGCTAGTATGTGTGGTGGTAGTGGTAGGAGGGTGGCAAGGAGAGCAGTTGAAAACCAGTTGTTAGGTGTGGGAGGAGACTGATAGCCAGTTATAATTTAGGATGATGAGTGCTGTGATAAGGTGTATAGGCAGCTCAAAAATGAGATATGTAATACAAATAATAGATAATACTAAGTTATTAATATGTTAAAGACTTTACCAGTATTGTGTTATTCTCAAAATAACTCTACATGGTAGTTGCTTTTGTTAACCTAGTTTTACAAGTGAGTGAGTAAGGTGAGTAACCTGACTCAAAGTCACAGGGTTATAAATTGAAAGGCTGGGGCCGGGCGCAGTGGCTCATGCCAGTAATCCCAGCACTTTGGGAGTCTGAGGAGGGTGGATCACCTGAGGTCAGAAGTTCAAGGCCAGCCTGATCAACATGGTGAAACCCTGTCTCTACTAAATATACAAAAATTAGCCAGGTGTGGTGGCGGTCACCTGTAATCCCAGCTACTTGGGAGGCTGAGGCAGGAGAATCACTTGATCCTGGGAGGCAGAGGTTGCAGTGAGCCGAGATCGCACCATTGTGCTCCAGCCTGGGCAACGAGCAAAACTCCGTCCCCAAAAAAAAAAAAAAGAAAAGAAATTGGAAGGCTGAGCACGTTGGCTCATGCCTGCAAATCCCAGCACTTTGGGAAGGCCGATCACCTGAGGTCAGGAGTTTGAGACTAGCCTGGCCAACATGGTGAAACTCCATCTCTACTAAAAATAGAAAAATCAGCCGGGCATGGTAGCGCACTCCTATAATCCCAGCTACTCAAGAGGCTGAGGCAGGAGAATCGCTTGAACCCGGGAGGCGGAGGTTGCAGTGAGCCAAGATTGTGACCGTTGCACTTCAGCCTGGGCGACAGAGCGAGACTCTGTCTCTCAAAAAAAAAAATAGAAAAGAAAAAAAAGAAATTGGAAGAGCTAGAATTTGAACCCAGAGCCAGTGCTCTTAACTGTTGCCTCTCGCTGCTAACCTAGTCCCTAATTCACCCTTGGAAAGATCATCCTAAGGGATGAGTAGAAGTTAGCCAGATGAAGACTGGTGAAAGAGAGACCAGAAGGGAGACAGAGGCCAGATCATGAAGAGTTACGTGGAATATCCCAGCTACAATTTGAACTTTGTCATTTGAATAGGATCTAAGTTAGAAGTGACACTTTAACATTTCTACTGTAGCTGCATTGTGGAGAATGGATTTGGGGGCGGGAATAGCGTATGTGGAACTAGGGGCAGGAAAATTGGTAAGAAGCATGGTTAATTTAAGTGAAATGATTTGGACTTCTTTATTTTTAACTTTTTATAGAGACTTGTTCTTGCTCTGTTGCTCAGACTGGTCTTAAACTCCTGGGTTCAAATGATCCTTCTGCCTCAGCTTCCCAGAGTGCTGGGTTACAGGCATAAGCCACCACCACACCCGGCCGATTTGGACTTAATTTCAGCCTCCAATTTATCGATTTACATTATCTCAGCACTAATTTTTATATATAAAATGGCTGGTCAGCACAGAAAACACCAGAACTTTTTGACACCAGTTTCATTTCTTATTTAAAGCTAATTGACAGCTTGTCCTAAACTGAAGAAAGGCATTTGCTTGGCCATAGTGAAGATCAGTACATTTTCCAAGTCTTAGAAAGAATGGAGTTATTCATATGGGATTTAGAGTTAAGTGGTCAGTGTTACTCAGTAACACATTTTATCTTTATATATGGGGTGTTGTGCTATAAAGCACCTAGAACTCAATAAGAAAAGTTGCTGTGAATGTGCAACAATGACACAAAAGTACACCCTTGTAATTTGTTGGTATCTGAACAGCTTGTTTACCTCCAGAGTCCCAGGATAGACTGTGAGAAGGAGACTGACTGATGAGGCTGAGAGAAGGTAGTACAGGAGACAAAGGAAGCCCTGTGCCTCCTGTAATCAGCTTTGTTTCTCGAGGAGAATGTGGCCTTGCTCACTGTTGCCAGTATTATTCTATCATCAGCAAGAGCAAGTTCTCAGGAAACCCTTATATACCTATAAGCTTTAGTAGACAGTTGAATGGGTTTGTCTTGTATCCATGCTTAGGAAAAACAAGACTCTTTATTTTAGCCAAATACAAAAAGACATTCTGTGTCAGATCACTGTGGGGTTCTCTCTCTCTCTCTCAGAGCAGGTTGTTTGAAGGACTTTAAGCCATTGTTTGTGGTACTGGCTGGGAATTTGGGACTACTAAAGTGTCTCTTAACTGCTCTTAAGCATCAGTTTAAAAATAACTTTTTTCTTAGTTATAAATGTAAATAGACCTTTTCATTTTTACTGGAACCATATGGGACAACCTTTGGTTGTATTAGTCTTTGGTTTAATGACCTGATGCTGAAAAGGTTGACTTATTTTTTCTTTCAATTGATAACCTGCACAACTGTAGGTAGGCCAGTTTATTTCTTGTTCTTTGTAAAACTGAAGGCTTTGCTCTCTCAGTTCTTGCTGAAGTAGCACAAACCCCCTTCAGTTAAATCAGGGGTACTCAAAATACCATCCAGGGAAAAGCCTTGGCATGCCTGTTAAAAACCTTGCTGGTGGCCTCTTTAAGAGGAATACAAAGTCTGATGGCCTGCCATTGCTGATCATTTAGGGTTATGATTAAGATGCCTTTAACAAAATTCATCAGAAAATTAACTGACTTGAACAAAAAGGAAAGTTAACTCTTTTATATTAACTAGTCTCTCAATAATAAGAAGGTACACCTAACTCTGGTTAGAGCAGTTTCAGGATTAGAAAATT